GAAAAATGTTAAGTAATTTGGTCGGATGTGTCTTCTGTAACAGATAGCGCTAGTGTACTGACGCAGAGCACTGTTGAGACTGGCTGCATGGAACCATATGTGCTGTAGACTTTCTGTTTTATAGATTAGATTTTTGCCACAACGAAAGGAAAAGGACTGCATATTTTTAGAACCTGCAAACGCACAGGACGATGTCTTTGCCGGCCTCATAGCTCAGTTATCGTTTGTGACGTCACAGTGGCTTGTCTGTGACGACCTGCTTGAGAGCCGCCGCTTATGGACTATATGAACTATGCACTATACAATGGCAACATGGACGGACGAGTGTGTCCCCTAACAGATCGGTGTACGCGTATCTGCTACGGTATATCCTCGATCTAATACCGGCAAGACTGTGAACTCGTAGCTCAATGGTTAGGAAATTCGCCCTGACCGGAGAAATCGAGAGTTCAAAACTCGAGTGTGGCAGCAATTTCAGCGGCAATACTGGAGTTCGGTATCACTAGCTGATGACGGCAAATAAGCCAGAAAAGGCCTTCCTAGTGTACCATTTCTTTGCTGGTAATGTCCTTCTGCCTATATACTAGTCGCCTCGCGGTGGAGGCTCGAGGGAGAGCTCTAATGGCACCATGGACGGACGAGTGTGTCCTCTAACAGATCGGTGTACGCGTATCTGCTACTGTATACCCCCGATCTAATACCGGCAAGACTGTGAGCTCGTAGCTCAATGGTTAGGACGTTCGCCTTGACCGGAGAGATCGCGAGTTCAAAACTCGAGTGTGGCAGCAATTTCAGCGGCAATACTGAAGTTGGGTATCACTGGTCGATGACGGCAAATAAGCCAGAAAAGGCCTTCCTAGTGTCCCATGTCTTTATCGGTAATGTCTTTCTGACTGTACATTATATATAATAGACCTGACTTCAAAATTAGACTCCTTGTCTAACTCAATGATTGATGTTTGCACCATTTCAGTATATTGAGGCTCTACGAACAACCGTACATGACAATCTCAAGCAGCTGACACACGCTCCCAGCGTGCAGTTTGTCGATGTACCGCCGGATTTCCTGTACACTTTTGATGAGGACAGCAATGATGAGGAGTAAGTTCCTCTTTGAGTTTTCAGAAGCTGTTTCCCGTTTGATTACGAATTCTACAATTTAGAGTGCTTAACAACAGCTGAAAAACTGCCTGTGCCTGAAGTTCGCGAAAGTATCAGCGGCTACTTAGTCTCACACAACCAAACTCACCGACGTTTTCCGATAACTAGGTAATTCTGTCCAGAAAGC